CTCAACCTTCCCCCCGCCAAATCTCGCCGGCCCTTCTCTTATGGAAGCAAAACCAATTCTCAGCCGAGCGAGAAATTGGGAGCCTGTTCACCCAGCCCAGGGCGAGCAGGCGCTTGCTGACTGTGGGGTACCCAAACCAGCTTGGAGGTACCCTGGGACTCGCATGCTTCCACTGCAGATCCAAGTCCCTTGCAAGAAGTTGGGTGCTTGCTCATTTTCCATGCAAATGCCAGCTTAGGTGGAGACCCTCCTCCTCCTCAGCCACCCAGGGAGCAGGGTAGGTACCGGCGGGGACGCCGGCGCTGGCGGGGAGGGGACAGCACACCTTGCGGTAACTCCCCGGGCTCTGCGGGGATGAGGGTCTCCTCTCCATGGGTCGGAGACAGGGATGTGAGCAGAGGCTGCACGGGGCAGGCCTGGGTTGGCCTGGGAAGGAGGAGGCAAGCACACTGCCTGGGCGCTGCTTCCTGCTGCTGCAGGTGCTTGGGGGGTAACGGGGTTTTATTTGCCTTTCTCCTCGCCCCTCGCTGCCTGGATGGCTGGCATTGTCTGGTCCACGGGGTGGTGCTGGTGCCATGGGCTGCGACCTGCAATTCCCAACACTTCGCCCTTGGGATGCAGCAGATGCAAAAGCTGTGTCTGCACTGCCGATGCCTGAGGTGCCCCGTCGCCCCCAGGCAGATGATTACGGCTTTTGCTGCTTTCTCTGCTCCATTCGCCGCCCCAGCACAAGCCCCGTGGCTCCTCTGGCTCATGCCCCTGCCTTCGCACCATGGGAGGTTTGCGCTGCCCTGGGGATGTGGGTAATTCCCGCTGGGAGGGTCTCATCTTCTGTCCCGCTGCCAGGAGAGCCCAGGAAGGGTCGCTGTGTTCGGCACTTCCGTGCAAAGCCTTTCCTGCAGTATTAGCAGTGCTGCCCTCAGCCTGGCTGTCAGCGCTGCTTTGCTCCCCTCAGTGTGCCGGCGCATCCCCACGGCATCGCTCCTCAGTGCGGCCGAGCTCCTGCAAAGCTTCAGCCATGGCTTGCGCTTTTCCAGGGCGGGATGTGCACCCCAGTCCCCACCAGTGAAGGGGCTCCCCAGGCATCTTAGACCAAAAATCCCTGTGAAATCCCTGAGCTACTTACTATTATCAGTAGTGTTTGCTGCTGATTTGATTATTTATTTATTTTTCTTTTGGGAGTGTTGCATTTTGATGCCTCAACGCACGCTTCCCTGTGCCGGGGCCGGTGGTCCTGCTCCTCCCGCTCAGCCTCGTGGGTAGGCTGGGAACCTGCTGCTTTTGGTGCCTACATCTGGGTTTCGCCGGGGCTACAGCCTTGCGGTGGGAGAGGTTTGGAGGGAGAGGGGGCTCTGAGCTTTGGTTTGCTGTGTTTTCTGGAGCAAAGCTTCTACTGGGAGCTTGCTGGTGTGGGAAGATGTCCTGCTCTTGTGAGACTCTGCCCATGGTTTTGTCCTGGTACAGGATCGACGGCAGCTTTTGCCATCACTGATGTTTCATTTTTCAAAAGGCGTGTGGAAGGCGATTAGAAACTTTAAATACAGTTTTCCTTAAGATTTGGGGGAGGAGGGGGAGGGGTAAGTACCTTTCAGTTTGAAATAAGGCAGATGTATGTTTTTGATCCAGTGGGACAGAAACGTCTCTGGCAGCACTGGAGCTAAAAAGCCAGAGTAAGAGGTTCCCCGACAAACGGGTAGCCCCGAGGTGGGCTCCTGGCTGGGAGAGGATGCTGCGTCCAGAGAGGCTGCGCGAGTCAGCTCCCCAAAACCCGCAGGGAAGGGCCAGGGCTGTGCTCAGGGGGCTGCGTGCCAGCCGTAAGCGTGGGGAGCTGCTGTGGCACCGCCGTGGTGCCAGCCGGCTGGGGTTGGGGGAGCTGGTGCAGGGATGCTGTTGAATTCGTTGCCGTCGTTTGGGATGTGCTGGCCAGCTGGAGCTTCGGCACATCGTCTGCTGCGTCGGCAGGACACCGAGACAGCAGTGGCCGCTGTTTCTGTCCATGTGTGTCTGCAGCATCCCCAGGGAGG